GATGGCCCTGGGCCAGTCTAGAACAAGGAAGAGGCATCTTTCTGAGCGTGCCCAGCTGGGAAACGTGCTGAAGGCCCATGGCGAGTTGTCTCAGGTGCTATGACTGTCCTCACCGCCTTCCCTGAGGGGTGGCAACGTAATGAGCTCCTTGGTTTGGCTTGGAGCTACCAGCCAGCTTTATGGCCTCAGCGGTAAGACTTTAGGAACTCCCCCTGGCTTTATTGATAGGAAGTATTGCTCTGCGTTTAAAAAAACTCATTTAGAGTCACAAAATAGTTCTTTCTCGAACCCAACTCACCAGTGGGTGGTAGCTTTCTGGAACCATGTTGGAAGGAATTCTAGGGCAGTATGTGAGCACAGTGCTAAAATTGATTAACTAGGTCTGCCGAGGGCCAGGGACTGCCCAGTGGAGCACTCATGAGCCTGTCTTTGCCGTCACTTGACTAGACAGTGCACTGTGGTCTGCAAAGGAGAAGAGATGGCTGCAGGGCCCGGCGGTGTCTCTGACACCTGGTTTTGCAGCCTCCAAACCTTTGTTCTCACCTCTAGGGTAACAGTGGTGGGCTGGAGAGGCCCCATTCCCTCTATTTACACCCACAAGACTAGGCATTTGCTCCCTCCGAGGAAGGAGAAGGAGTTTCAGGATTGACACTGCATGTGAGGGCACCTGGATATACCGTCTGTTCATCACAGAGGGAGGCAGCGAGGATCGCCACAGATCTCCACAGACCACGCCCCTCACTGTGTCACACACACACTGTCCCTTTAAGAGCCTGCTCCCATCCTCACCCCAGCATCTCAGCCACTGCTTTGATCTCCCCCTGAACCCTCCTCTGGAAAGGACCTCCAAAAAGGGCCCCTGCACAGACCCTATAAGTGTGAGACATTCCTATTACAAAGGTTGGTCTTACTTTATTTAAGGATGAGAGGATCTCCCTAACATTCACCTTGAATGTGGCTGCTGACACCCCTTGCTCCCCCTTGGCCTACAAATGGATTTGGCGATTAGATTGTGAATTCCACTCCCTCCTCTTTCGCTGCGCACCCTCTCTCTGTCCAGCCCTAGGTGACATCTGATTTCCTCCATTTGGGACATTCCAGCTTCTCGCTGCACAGCAAGCACATCAAGCAGCGGCAGCTGGAGTGCTCGTTAAGGGCCCCAGACCAGGAGAGCGGAGCTGACAGGGGAAGAGCTGGGGCCTGAGGTCTGGAAGCCACACTCCCGGCCCCCAGGAGCACCCCCGCCCCAACCTCCTCTCCCAGCTCAGACCTTCCTCCCCCAGAGGCTGGCCCTCCTGCTCACAGCAGCCTCTGGCTCCTCTCCTCCAGGGTCCCCTCAGCATGGCAGGCAGGTCCCGCCTCCTCCTGCCTCACAGATATGTCTGTGCCCAGTAAGCTGCTTCCCCACTGGGGGGTGTGGGTGTGAATGCGCCCCTAGATTCCTGCCTCCAGGCCACTGCCCAGCCTGTCTACGCTGCCCAAGGCCCTTCCTCCGGCCCTCAGGGAGCGGCGCAGGCTAAGGTCCAGCTTTTGGCCGGTCAGTCCTGATTTTTAACAATTTGTCCCGCATCCCACAGTGTTTTTTGAAAAATCGGGACTTTTTTTAAAAGGCCGCGGGATGCAGGACAAATTGTTAAAAAAAAAAAAAAAAATCTTTCCAAAAATCCGGACTTTTTTAAAACGCCATGGGACGCGGGACAAATTGTTAAAAATCGGACTGTCCCGCCCAAAGCGGGACGTCTGGTCACCTTAGCGCAGGCCTACCTGCTCCCGGACGGATCGCCTGCCCCAGGTCCCGGGGATCTCCCTGCGAGCGCTCCTGTGGCCCCGAGCATGGCCTCTGGTGGCACCTGTAAGTGCATTCTCCCATCTGCCATCTCCCGAGAGCCTCCCAGCGTCCCCCAGGGGGAGGCAGGGCCTGGGGTTTCTAGAGTAGGGTCCCAAGCCCAGGGGGTGGCAAAGCCCACTGGAATCCTGGTCTAGGCCCAGTATTCGCCGGGGCCTGGGTGCCCTCTGAGAGCCGGCAGGAGCCCCTGCAGGTCCGCTCCACAGGATCCCTCATCACCAAGGCCAGGGCCTCCTCTCTTCCCTGCCTTTCTCTTCTCCCAGGGGTTTCTGCTCCCAGCCCCAGTTCTCCGCTCACCCTGTCCTCCCCTTAGCTGTTGGCTCCAACCCGGGAGCACACACCCAGAAAGGAAAGGTGTGGGGTGGAGGAAGGGCCTCACATTGCTCTGGGGACACCTTTGCTGGCCCAGAGTGTCCTGCTCCTGACACAGTGAGGTCACACAGCGCTTCCTGCAGGACGTGCCTGTTGCATGTCTGTGCTGTCCAGTCTGGTGGCCACTAGCCACAGATGTCTACTGAGCGCTTATCTGAAATGTGTCTTGTGTGACTGAGGAACTAAATGTCAATGTCATTTAATTTTAATTAATGTAACTGTAATGAGTCACATGTGACCGGTGGTGACCATATTAGACAGTGAGACCCTTAGAGGGCCCCTTCAGGAGCCCCTGGACTGAGGCCCCACCCAGGACCGTCTCCACACAGACTAGGCCACCTCCCTGCCACCCTCAGGACAGCTCTCTCTCTCTGGTTCCAACTGACCTCACACCCCACCTGACCTTGACCTCAGGCCCCAGCACTGCAGCCACCCTTTCCATTCACCCCTCTCTGACCCCATTTGCACCTCAATCTGGGTCATGGCTCCCTCGGGCCTGCACCAGCCTCTTGCTTAAACTCTCTGCTCTGCCTTAAGTTCCCATACTGCCCCCTCTAGGCCCTTCCATGGCTCCCCGGTGCCCTTACACAGATCCGTCTCTCAGGCCGCTGTCTCTCTCCAGCCAGATCCCATACCATGCCCCCCGCCCAGCTCTCCAGAGAGTTCGCTCTCTTCAGTTTCCCACGGCAGCCCCTCCCTCCGACTCTCAGCCTCCCTTTGCCCCTAAGAACCAGGCCCCCCCACCCACTGCCTTTGCCTGGAAGACCCCTATGCCTCCTTTGAAACGTTGCTTGAAAATCACTTTGCCAGGAAGCCACCGCCCTCAGGTATGGTGCATGCTAATACATTCCCCAGGCCACCTTGGCTTCCATCATCACAGCACCTCTCACACTCTCTCCTTGGTGACCCGTGTGCCTATGCGTTTAGGAAGGCAGGCATGTGTCCACCTTGCCTGATCCACAGCGGGCTCTCAGGATGAGAATGGACAGAGAAGGAGGCGGGACCTCGTGCACCGGAAGCAGGGTCAGGAGGCCTAGGTTCTAGTCCTGGACCTCACCATGTGACTCTGAGTCACCGACCGCCCCTCTCTGGGCCTCAGTTTGCCCATCTGTGAAATGGGTGCTCTGCGGATGAGCAGTCTAGAGGTCAGTGGGGTAAAGATGAAGCGAGTGGCAGTTTCACGAGGAGGAATCAGCACGTAAGATAACATTGTCAGCCCCAAGACCGTAAACGCAGGAGACTTGGCACGGCTGGGTCTTAAACAGAGGAAGCGAGGCTCTGGGAAAGGGCCGGAGCATGTCCTGGCCAACAGGAGGGGCCAGGAAGGGGAAAGCATGGTGAGAGGAACTAAGCAAAACTCCCAGGGGCTGATGCTTGTCCCTCAGCACCCAGCACCCAGAGACACCCAGGAGAGCCCCACCTGCCCTCAGACCCTCTCCGCTGCACAGCCAGTCCCGTGTGCGCTCTCAGCCAGCCCACAGAGGCGGCCTGCTTGCACGGCTGAGCCCAGAGCTCCCTGCTTGTCCCAGCCGGTCCAGGGGACCGTGGGGCCGGACCGAGCCCTCTGGGTTCCCTATCGCCTGGCAGCGCGTGGGAATGAGCGGATAGCAGCAGTCATGGCTGAGCCAGTAAACTAGCAAAGGCAAACGTGCCACCCTCCTGCTCTGGCCACATGGCCTCCCTTTCCTTGACGTTTGCCATCGTCACCACAGTTTTGCCAGCTCAGCAGGGTTAGGTGACTTGCTCCAGGTGGCACAGCACCTAAGCAGGACTGACAGGAAGGAGGCTCCGGCCCTCCCGGTTTCTCCCATGGAACCTTCCACGGCAGCCTCTTCCGGGACCTCTTCCCGGACGGCGGCACCCTCACCTGTGGGTCCTCCCAGCCCCGGGGCCCTGGATCCCTGTGCTGGCCAGATTCCCACAGTCACCAGGCCTCATGTCCTCCCGGCTCGGCCTTTTCGCTGATGGCACCAGTGAGACCTCGTGGGGAGGAGGGTTTATGTGCTCCCCAGATTGCCCTGGCGGAGAGACACTCTGGCTTTCACTCGTGTTCACGAACACGTTGGGGATGGAGGACAGCTCAGTCCCCTCTTCCCAGAGAAGCACTCCGACACAAACGCTGGGAGACTATTCCAGAGGGGAGGAAATGAGAAACCCAGCTGAGGAACCAGAGGGCATGCAGAGCGGGGAGGTCCACAGCTCAGCCCCAGTGGTCTGGGCAGCGGCAGGGACCAGGACACCCCCTGCTGCAGGAACTGCCTCCTGTGGCCCCCTCAGCCCCTTGGATGTCCCCCTCCCTCACTCCATCATAAAGCAACGTTGGTACAAAAAGGCGGCTCTGATCCTCCAGGGATAGATGGGGAGGGCCATGGGGACAGCGAGCCTCGGCCCGGGACCAAGGGGCACAAGTCCCGTCGCGGGGGCTCTGGGCGGCTCTCACCCCGCCCTGATGGGACAAGTGGAGCTTGGCGGCCTCTGAGCGCCCTGCCTCTGCGCCCCTGCCTTCCTCCACCTGCCCCGCGCCCAGGGCGCTCCCAGACCCCGATGCGGGGTGGGGGACGAAGGGGGTGCCTGCCTGAAGCGGGATTGAGGGGTCCCTGGCAGGGCAGCATCCGTCCCGCCCCCAGCCCCTCCCGGGGACATCTCGCCCGCGTTCCCGGGCGGGCGCCCTGCGCGCAACGCGGAGAGCCAGGGCCCGCGGGCACCGGCGGGTGGAGGGTTTGGAGGCTGCGCGAGGGGGCGCCACGGGGAGGGGGGAAAGCCAGCCACAAAGAGCACCGACCTCATCCAGCAGTTGGTGGACTCGTCCCAAAATAGCCGTCTCCATCTGCCGCTCCCCGCACTCGGCTTCCAGGCGCAGCACGCGGGCCTGCAGCTCCGCCGTCCGAACGTGGGCGAGCAGGCTGAGCGCCAGCGCGCAGAGGGCGAGCGCCAGCAGCCCGCACGCGCCCGGGCCGGGCAGCCGCGCGCAGCGCTCCGCCGCCGGCGCCCGGGTCCCCTCCGGAGCACCCCGCTCCCCGGGCCCCCGGGCTCCCGCCGCCGCTGTGCGGGCGCGCTCCGCGGCCATCCCCTCGCGTCTCCAGAACCAATAAATAAATAAATAAATAGAATAAATAAAGGCAGGGGCCGCTGCCCAAAGGCTCGATCCAACAAGCTGCGGGACGAGGGGGTAAAGGGCTTGTGTCCTGGAGAAATGTTCCTTCCCTTTGCTCCCGGCAAAGAGGCTGGAAGAAGGAAGCAGCAGCAGCAGCAGGAGGGGGAACGTGGAGAAAACGCAGCCAGCGGCCCTCGGGGTGCGCCCAGGTGAGACGCAGTGACTTCGGAGAGTGCAGTCCAAGCCCGGGAAAGTCAGCGGGACCGGCCGGCACCCCTTCCCTCCCTCCGTCCGCCTGTCCCTGCGAGTGTCCGCAGCGCCCTCTCCTCGCGTCGCTCCTGCGCGGTCCCCGCTCCTCGGAGCCCCGCGTCTCCGGCGGCGGCGGCGGCGGCGGTGTCAGTCGCGGGGCGCAGCGGCGCGCGGGGGGCCCCGCGGGCAGAGGCGGGTGGCGGCCGCGGCGAGGAGCAGCGCTGGGGCCGATGCCGGCGCCTCTGTAACCTGACACACTGGCGGCGGCCGCGCGGATCGGATGATGAGCAATCCGTGCTACTTCCCAAACTAATCTCCCCCGCCCCTCCCTCCTCCTCCTCCCGTCCTCTCCTCCTCCTCCCCCGCCTCCTGCGGGGCGGGAGGCTTGGGTTTGTTTATTTATTCAAACTGGCCCGGGTGGGGGGCGTGATGCGCGGGGCGGGGGGGGGGGGGAGGGCGGCCGCCCCCAGCCACCGGCCCCGGGAGCAGCCTCTCCCCAGACCCCGGCCTCCTTTGAAGTGACGCGGGGTTATTTATAGGCAGGAAGAGGGTGTGGAGTGGCGCGAGGGCTTCGCTTCGCTCCCTTTTCTCGGGATTCACACCGACGGCCCCCCTCGCCTTCCGCCCAAATCCTGGGGCCAGGCATCCCTCTGCTCTGCTTTCTGGCTAGTTGGTAGAGCCCGCCTGCCTCTGGGATCCTCCAGGGAGCCCGACCGAGTTACTGTCAGGCGTCTAGAAGGATCTCCACGTCCTGAGCAAGAATATCAGAATCCACTGGGCTGCCAGAGCGCCCAGCTTCCTCACCCCTCCGGTCTCACCCCTTCCCTGGCTCCTGGGGTGACTCCACCTGAGTTCTGCACTCCCCCAGGGCCTTGGGTGGGGCTCCTTCCGCCAGCCACACCTTTCCCGGGGGTGACAAGTTAGCCCTCCAGGGGCAGCAGAAATGGTGCCTTTTCTCTCCTTCGGGACCCACAGCAACAGGGGAGAGGAAAAGGAAAGCTGAGCAGTAGGCTTCATCCCAGGGTGTCGGAAAAGCAGGTCCTGCTCCCTGCCGGTCTTGATCCCTCCCGTATTTCCTGCCATTGATCTGAGACCCATTCCATCCCTCTGCTGTCAGGCCAGCAGCCCCCTCCCCCTCATCCCAGCCATCAAAGGTGAGCGCTCCAGCTCCATCCTGTGGGTCCTTCCCATCTGCACCCCTCCTGCAGCCGTGTCCTAGACCCCAGAGAGAAAAGCTGCCTGAAGGGCATTGCATGGTTTCCTCTCTGCTCTTGTCACCTCTCCCACTTGAAGTAACATGTGTATCCCAAGAGGCTTTATCTCCCTGGGCCTCTTGTCGCTCCTGCAAACGAGGTGGTGGGGACGAGTTGATGCAGAAAGCATGCTTCCCAGGACGGGGCAGGAGATAAAAGGCTGGCTCCTCCCGGGTGGAGTGGGGGCGGGGGGGGGCAGGAATGCTGGGTTCCACTTTACAGTAACAGGGTGTGCCGCCTTCACACTTTATGTATTGACCTGATGGAGCTTAATAGGTAACAAACACAGTATCATGGCACACCTAGGAGTGGGGCATGTCTGGAAGAGGAATAGAGCACTTATAAATAATGTGTTATAGCATTGCCTGCTGGGTCAGACCGCCACTGTGGAGGACTAAGGGGTAGAGATTGATGCTGCCACCCGGCTGGCGGCCAGGAGCCCTGGGTCAGGCCCGCCTCTAGCATTTCCTCCATGCGGGGCTTGGCGACTAGCGGTTCCCTACTCTGAGATGGTGTTGAAGACCACCAGGGGGCGCCAGAGAACATGCCTGGGGATTCAAAGGTAGAGGGAATGGAAGAAGAGAACTGGGGCAGAGGGTTAGTTTATCCTTGGTGGTTCCACAAGCTGCTCTTTTCCCGTTCAGGATTTCAGCAGCCCTGGGGAACGCTAAGGCAGTGAAACCTAAAAGGACTTGGGACTGGCAGCTGAAGGAAGAGGGTTCTAGGCTAACCTGACTCCAGCATCAGCAATGACATATCCAAACCCCGGGGACTTCCAGTCAGAGAGACCCGGGTATCAATCACGGTTCTGTCAATGATGGAGTTCCCGAAGGTCTCTGAGCCTGCTTTCTCATTTACACAACGGGACCTGTTGAAGTAATGCATGTAAAGCACGTAACACAGCGCCTGGCACACAGTAGGCTCTCAATCAATGACAGCTACTTCATTCTTTAGGAATTCATGGCCACTGGAGTCAGCTAAGACACAGCTCCTCTGGGCTCCCACTTGTGCAACAGGAAGAAATTTCATCTTCAAGATGAGTCACAGCTTCTTTTCCCCACAACCGATCGCTGGGGGGTAGCAGCCTGAGTAGGGGGCGGGGGGAGGCTATCCCCAAATGTCCCCTTCCCTTCTTCATGCACGGAATGACATTCTGAGCCTGGGGACGCTCCCCGTTAAGCACTGCCCACCGCAGGCCCTGTCACAGGGTATCTGGGCTTATCTTGAAACTCTTTCTGCAGAAGCGGAGCCTGCAACTTGGAGACATGGGAGTGGAAAGATCCTTCTCTCCAGGAGCTCAAAGTCCAGAGGGGAAGATAAGATGCCTTCAGACACAACAGGCAGAGGGTGAAAAATCCACGAAACAGAGCAAAGGCTGTAAGAAGGCTTCCGGGAAGAAGGACGGAAATCCTGTGACTCAGGGAAAGTCTCTAGGAAATTGGGTTTCTTGTCTGTAGCCAGGAGATAGTGCTAACCAAGGAGTTTGACTTCCATCTGTGGTCATGGTTATAGTCCCAGATAAAAATGGGTATTTCGGGTACCAGAGTGCAAAGCTAAGAAAATTGTCCCTGTGCATTTAAGCTTGTTTGTTCCTCAAGCATTTTCTGTTTTTGTTGTTGTTGTTTTGGCTTCCACATATTTCCTGGACCCTCTGCCAGGGAGTTCCTCCTTCACTCACCTGTTCTCTGCACCTTAAAAACTTGCCAATTGCTCCAAGTCCAGTTTTACGGAGGGAACCTCACTTCTCTTCCTCTCACTGTGGCTTTGGCAGCCTTGACCTCTCTCTTCCCCAAACTGTTACCATCCCAGCCCCTGAGACCTCCTGCCCCATCTACTTCCGTCTCTCTGGCCTGATTTTCAGTCTCCCCAAAGACTAAGGGGACAGCCCCGCCAAAAGCGGGACATCTGGTCACCTTACTAAAGACTCCACTTTCTCTCCCCACATCGGAACGCTGGTCACACCTCCTACACAAACTCTTCTCCTGGCTGCTTATCAGAATCACCTGTGGAGGCCACAGGAGCGTGGGCACCTGTGGTTTTACCTCCCTTGAGCCTATTCCCCCGTCTCTCACAACTGGGGCTCAGGTTCCTTCGGGGGGACCCTCTAACTCGTAGTCTGTGTGGCTTTAACGGCCGTGGCCCCGTCCCTGGCCTCAGGAATGTGAACCGTCTAACTCTCTCCCCTGGCTGCCGGCCTTAGGCTGCAGGTGGGTGTGCGGCCCAGGTCAGGCTCCTGAGAGCCAGGCTGGAATGATGGGGAAGGGGAGCTCCCTTCGCGAAGGGCTTTCTAAAAGAATGGCAGCTGCCGCCGGGGCCATCTTGCTGCTGGTCTTAAAGATCCGGTTTGAGAATGAAGCCAACACAGGAGGCAAGCCAACGTGGAGACAGACGGGGTCCCGGCACATCTTTTAAATCTTAGATCAAACTGTGCCTGCAGCTCATGCCTGCACTTTTCACTCACAGGAGTCCTTTTTCGCTCCAGTCGGTTGGCGTGGGGCTTCTTCTCTTGACCATCCTGCTTTCAGAAGCTTCGGGAGGGACTAGAATGTACATCGAGGTGGAAGGTCACTGCACTGTGCCCTCCCCCTTGGGGGACCGGTCCTCCTGAGCTCCACTTTCTGTCTCTCTGATGAGGACTCTCCTGTCAAACCCACAGCCCACAGTCCCATCCCTGGCACATCCCTCCCGTGTCTCCAGCTCCGTTTAGAGCCTGCCCCCAAGCCAGCCTCCCCTTGCTCTGCCTCCCTTTCTTTCCCTTGGCTGATGGCACTGGCACCCTCCTGGGGCCCAGGCTGGGTGGTTGCCTTCTCCTCACCTGTAGCGACTTCATTTGATTGACACTAAGTCCTGTGGATCCCGTCCCCTTCATTTCTCTCAGGTCTGTTCCTCCTTTTGGGTTTCTCTGCTCCCTCCTGCTGCCTGCCCCATGCTTGGCCTTCAAACAAGCCCAGTTCTGCCTTGCTGGTGTTGCTCAGTGGTTGAGCTTCGACCTATGAACCAGGAGGTCACAATTCGATTCCCAGTCAGAGCACATGCCCAGATTGTGGGTTTGATCCCCAGTGGGGGGCAATGCAGGAGGCAGCCAATCAATAGCTCTCTCTCATCGCTGATGTTTCTATCTCTCTTCCTCTCTAAAATCAATAAAAATGTATTTAAACAGGCCCAGCTCTCCCGCATGGTAGCCATACCGGAAAAGCTTACCCGAGGAAGCCTGGCCCCAGCACCTGCCAGAACGTCCCCCAGGCCTTCATGACCACTGGCATTCCAGCCCGGCTCTCAGCTCTGCTTCTGCGTAGTGTGAACGCCGAGATAGAAGGGGTCTGGGCTCCTGTTGGCTTCACAGAGCTGAGTTGCCAGGCAAGCCCGGACTTTCATGTGGATGAGAAGGAACTTATAACAGCCCCACTATCTGGCCTGTCTTGTGCAGCCTCGACCATGTCATCCCTGTGAGCTGTGTCTGTCCCCTCCCCT